CCTTTTTTATTATATATATATACATTTTTTTTCCTTTCCCTCTTTTTGTGAGTGTGTATGTGTATGCTTCTTTGTGTGATTTTTCTGTATAGCTTTGCTTTTGCCATTTGTCCTAGGGTTCTCACTGTCCGTTTTTTTTGTTTGTTTGTTTTTAGTATAGTTTTTAGCACTTGTGATCATTAGTGGATTTGTTTTTTGGTTTAGTTGCTCTCTTCTTTCTTTTTTTTTTTTTTGCGGTACGTGGGCCTCTCACTGTTGTGGCCTCTCCTGTTGCGTGGAACACAGGCTCCAGATATGCAGGCTCAGTGGCCATGGCTCACGGACCCAGCCGCTCCGCGGCATACGGGATCTTCCCGGACCGGGGCAAGAACCCATGTCCCCTGCATTGGTAGGCGGACCCCCAACCACTGCACCACCAGGGAAGCCCCTCTCTTTTTTTTTTATTACTTTTTTATTTTTAATAATTTTTTGTATTTTAATAACTATATTTTATTTATTTCTCTCGTTCTTTTTTCTTTCTTTCTTCCCTACTTCCTTCTATCCTTTCTTCCTTCCTTTCTTTCCTTCCTTCTTTCATTCTTTCCTTCCTTCATTCTTTCTTCCTTTCTTTCCTTCCTTCCTTCTTTCCTTCTTTCTTTCTTTCCTTCTTGCTTTCCCTTTTCTTCAGAGCCGTGTGACTGACAGGGTCTTCGTGCTCTGGCCAGTCAGGCCTGAGCTTCTGAGGTGGGAGAGTCAAGTTCAGAACATTGGTCCACCAGAGACCACCAGGCCCCATGTAATATTAAATAATGAATGCTCTTGCAGAGATCTCCATCTCAAAGCTAAGACCCAGATCAACTCAACGACCAGTAAGCTACAGAGCTGGACACCCTATGCCAAACAACTAGCAAGACAGGAACACAAACCCACCCATTAGTAGAGAGGCTGCCTAAAATCATAATAAATTCACAGACATCCCAAAACACACCACCGGACATGGTACTGCCCACCAGAAAGACAAGATCCAACCTTATCGACCAGAACACAGGCACCAGTCCCCTCCACCAGGAAGCCTACACAACCCACTGAACCAACCTTACCCACTGGGAGCAGACATCAAAAACAATGGGTACTACAAACCTGCAGGCTGTGAAATGGAGATAACGAACACAGTAAGTTAAGCAAAATGAGAAGATAGAGAAATAAACAGCAGATGAAGGAGCAAGATAAAAAACCACCAGACCAAAAAAGTGAAGAGAAAATAGGCAGTCTACCTGAAAAAGAATTCAGAGTAGTGATAGTAAAGATGATCCAAAATCTTGGAAACAGAATGGAGAAAATAAAAGAAACGTTTAGCAAGGACCTAGAAGAACTAAAGAGCAAACAAACAATGATGAACAAGAAAATAAATGAAATTAAAAATTTTCTAGAAGGAATCAATAGCAGAATAACTGAGGCAGAAGAACAGATAAGTGACCTGGAAGATAAAATAGTGAAAGTAATTACCAGAGCAGAATAAAGAAAAAAGAATGAAAAGAATTAGAACAATCTCAGAGACATCTGGGACAACATTAAGTGCACCAATATTTGAATTATAGTGGTCCCAGAAGAAGAGAGAAAAAAAGGGACTGAGAAAATATTTGAAGATTATAGTTGAAAACTTCCATAATATGGGAAGGAAATAGTCAATCAAGCCCAGGAGGCACAAGGAATCCCATACAGGATAAATCCAAGGAGAAACACACCAAGACACATATTAATCAAACTATCAAAAATTAAATACAAAGAAAAATATTTAAAGCAGCAAGGGAAAAACAACAAATAACATACAAGGGAATCCCCATAAGGTTAACAGCTGATCTTTCAGCAGAAACTCTGCAAGCCAGAAAGGAGTGGCAGGACATATGTAAAGTGATGAAAGGGAACAACCTACAAGCAAGATTCCTCTACCCAGCAAGGATCTCATTCAGATTCGATGGAGGAATTAAAATGTTTACAGACAAGGAAAAGGTAAGAGAATTCAGCACCACCAAACCAGCTTTACAACAAATGCTAAAGGAACTTCTCTAGGCAGGAAACACAAGAGAAGGAAAAGACCTACAATAACACACCCAAAACAATAAAGAAAATGGTAATAGGAACATACATATCGATAACTGCCTTAAATATAAATGGATTGAATGCTCCCACCAAAAGACATAGTCTGGCTGAATGGATACAAAAACAAGACCCATTTATATGCTGTCTAAAAGAGACCCACTTCAGACCTAGGGGCACATACAGACTGAAAGTGAGGGGATGGAAAAAGATATTCCATGCAAATGGAAATCAAAAGAAAGCTGGAGTAGCCATTCTCATATCAGACAAAATAGACTTTAAAATAAAGACTATTACAAGAGATAAAGAAGGACACTACATAATGCTCAAGGGATCCATCCAAGAAGAAGATACAACAATTGTAAATATTTATGCACCCAACATAAGAGCACCTCAATAAACAAGGCAAATGCTAACAGCCATAAAAGGGGAAATCAACAGTAATGCAATCATAGTAAGGGACTTTAACACCCCAGTTTCACCAAAAGACAGATCATCCAAAATGAAAATAAATAAGGAAACACAAGCTTTGAGTGATACATTAAACAAGATGGACTTAACTGATATTTATAGGACATTCCATCCAAAAACAACAGAATACACTTTCTTCTCAAGTGCTCATGGAACATTCTCCAGGAAAGATCATATCTTGGGTCACAAATCAAGCCTTGGTAAATTTAAGAAAATTGAAATCATATCAATTATCTTTTCTGATCACAATGCTATGAGACTAGATATAAATTACAGGGAAAAATCTGTAAAAAATACAAACACATGGAGGCTAAACAATATACTACTAAATAACCAAGAGATCACTGAAGAAATCAAAGACAAAATCAAAAAATACCTAGAAACAAATGACAATGAAAACACGACGACCCAAAACCTATGGGATGCAGCAAAAGCAGTTCTAAGAGGGAAGTTTATAGCAATAGAATCCTACCTCAAGAAACAAGAAACACCTCAAATAAACAATCTGAATTTACACCTAATGCAATTAGAGAAAGAAGAACAGAAAAATCCCAAAGTCAGCAGAAGGAAAGAAATAATAAAGATCAGATCAGAAATAAATGAAAAAGAAATTAAGGTAACTAAAGCAAAGATCAATAAAGCCAAAAGCTGGTCCTTTAAGAAGATAAAATTGATAAACCATTAGCCAGACTCATCAAGAAAAAAAGGGAGAAGACTCAAATGAATAGAATTAGAAAGGAAAAAGGAGAAGTAACAACTGACACTGCAGAAATACAAAGGATCATGAGAGATTACTACCAGCAACTCTATGCCAATAAAATGGACAGCCTGGAAGAAATGGACAAATTCTTAGGAAAGCACAACCTTCCAAGACTGAACCAGGAAGAAATAGAAAATATAAACAGACCAATCACAAGCACTGAAATTGAGACTGTGATTAAAAATCTTCCAACAAACAAAAGCCCAGGACCAGATGGCTTCACAGGTGAATTCTATCAAACATTTAGAGAAGAGCTAACACCTATCCTTCTCAAACTCTTCCAAAATATAGCAGCAGGAGGAACACTCCCAAACTCATTCTATGAGGCCACCATCACCCTGATACCAAAACCAGACAAACATGCCACAAAAAAAGAAAACTACAGGCCAATATCACTGATGAACATAGATGCAAAACTCCTCAACAAAATAGTAGCTAACAGAATCATAACTACAATGAGGTGTCACCTCACACCAGTCAGAATGGCTATCATCAAAAAATCTACTAACAATAAATGCTGGAGAAGGTGTCTGGAAAAGGGAACCCTCTTGCACTGTTGGTGGGAATGTAAATTGATACAGCCACTATGGAGAACAGTGTGGACGTTACTTAAAAAACTAGAAATAGAATTACCATATGACCCAGCAATCCAACTACTGGGCATATACCCTGAGAACACCATAATTCAAAAAGAGTCATGTACCACAATGTTCATTGCAGCTCTATTTACAATAGCCAGGACATGGAAGCAGCCTAGCGTCCATCAACAGATGAATGGGTAAAGAAGATGTGGCACATATATACAATGGAATATTACTCAACCATAAAAGGAAATGAAACTGAGTTATTTGTAGTGAGGTGGATGGACCTAGAGACTGTCATACAGAGTGAAGTAAGTCAGAAAGAGAAAAACAAATACCATATGCTAACACATATATATGGAATCAAAAAAAAAATGGTTCTGAAGAACCTAGTGGCAGGACAGGAAGAAAGACATAGACTTAGAGAATGGACATGAGAACACGGGAGGGGAAGGGTAAGCTGGGATGAAGTGAGTGAGTGGCATGGACATATATACACTACTAAATGTAAAATAGATAGCTAGTGGGAAGCAGCTGCATAGCACAGGGAGATCAGCTCGGTGCTTTGTGACCACCTAGAGGTTGGGATAGGGAGGGTGGCAGGGAGATGCAAGAGGGAGGAGATATGGGGATGTATGTAAATGTATAGCCGATTCACTTTGTTATACAGCAGAAACTGACCCACCATTGTAAAGCAATTATACTCTAATAAAGACGTTAAAAAAATAACAGAAATAAAAATGTAAAAAAATAAAACCTCCCCAAAACAAAAGTCCAGGACCCAGCAGCTTCACAGGTGAATTCTACCAAACATTCAAAGAAGATTGAATACCTATGCTTCTTAAACTCTTCCAAAAAAATTGAAGAGGAGGGAGTGCTTCCTCCCTCATTTCATGAGGCCAAAATTACCCTGATACCAAAACCAGACAGACACACCTTGAAAATTACAGGCCAATATCTATGATGAACATAGACGCAAAAATTCTCAACAAAATGTTAGCAAACCAAATACAACCATACATTAAAAGGATCATACACCATGATCAAATAGGATTTATTCCAAGATGCAAGCGTGGTTCAACATCCACAAATTAATCAACATGATTCACCACATTAAAAAAATGAAGGATAAAAAAACCATATGATCATCTCAATAGATGTGGGAAAAGCATTTGACAAGATTGAATACCCATTTATGATTCAAAACAATAACCGTCAATAGAATGGGCAAAGAAGGAATGTACCTCAACATAATAAAGGCCACATATAAAGTCACAGCTAACATCAAAATCAAGGGTGAAAAAATGAAAGCTATTCCTCTAAGATCAGGGCTAAGACAAGGATGTCCACGCTTACCACTCTTATTTAACATAGTATTGAAAGTCCTCGCCAGAACAATCAGGCAAGAAAAATAAATAAAAGGCATCCAAATTGAAAAGGGGGAAGTATAATTGTGACTATTTGCAAGTGACATGATTTTTTATATGAAATACCTAAAGAATCCACCAGAAAACTATTAGAAATAATAGACAAATACAGTAAAGCTGCAGAATACAAAATCAATATGCAAAATAGTGTTTCTATACACTAACAATGAGCTAGGAGAAAGAGAAATTAAGAAAACAATTCCATTTACAGCTGCATCAAAAGAATAAAATACCTGTAAATTGTATTAACTAAGGAGGTGAAAAACCTATGCACTGAAACCTATATAAGATATTGTTCAAAGAAATTGAAGAAGAAACAAAGAAATGCAAAGATATTCTATGCTCATGGACTTGATGAATTAACATTGTTAAAATGTCTGTATTACCTAAAGCAATGTACAGATTCAGTGCAATCCCTATTGAAATCCCAGTGACATTTTTCACAGAAAAACAACAAAAACATTAAAATTTATAGTGAATCACAGGAGACCCCAAATAGCCAAAGCAATTCTGAGAAAAATGAACAAAGCTGGAGGTATCATACTTTGTGGTTTCAAGATGCACTACAAAACTACAATAATCAAAACATCTTGGTACAGGCAAAAAATAGACACACAGATAAATGGAACAGAATTGAGGGCCCAGAATTAAACTCACACTTTTATGGACAATGAATTTAAAACATAGGAGCAAAGAACATACAATGGAGAAATAGTCTCTTCAATAAATGTTGCCAAAAAACTGGACAGGCACATGCAAAAGAATGACACTAGACCACTATCTTACACCATACACAAAAAATCAACTCAAAACGGAGTAAAGACTTGAATGTAAGACGTGAATCCATAAAACTCCTAGTGGAAAACACAGGTCATATGCTCTTTGATATCAGTCTTAACATCTTTCCAGATAGGTCTCCTCAGGCAAGGGAAACCAAAGAAAATAAAACAAATGGGACTACATCAAATTAAAAAGCTTCTGTACAGCAAAGGAGACCATCAACAAAAAGAAAAGACAACCTACAGAATGGGAGAAGATACTGCATATCATATAGCTGATAAGGGAGTAATATCCAAAATGTATAAAAACCTCATACAAATCCATAACAACAACAACAGAAAACAACCTGATTAAAAAATGGGCAGAGGAGCTGAATAGAGATTCTTTTCAAAGAAGACATACAGATGGCAACAGGCACATGAAAAGATGTTCAATATCACTAATTACTAGGGAAATGAAAATCAAAACCACAATGAGATATCACCTCATGCCTGTTAGAATGGCTGTTATAAAAAAACGGCAAGGAATTACAAGTATCGGAGAGGATGTGGAGAAAAGGGAATCCTCGTACACTGTTGGTGGGAATGTAAATTGGTACAGCCTGTATGGAAAATAACAAGGAGATTCCTTTAAACATTAAAAACAGAACAACCCTATGATCCAGATATTCTACTTCTGGGTATTTATTTGAAAAATATGAAAACACTAATTCGAAAAGATATATGCATCCCTATGTACACTGCGGCATTACTTACAATAGCCAAGATATGGAAACAATCTAAGTGCCCATCGACAGATGAATGGATATAAATGATGGAATACTACTCATCCATAAAAAAAGATGAAATGTTGCCATTTGCTACAACATGGATGGACATTGCGAATATTCCACTAAGTGAAATAAATCAGATGGGGAAAGACAAATACTGTATGATTTCACTCATATGTGGAATATAAAAACAAACAAAATAAACAAACAAACAAACCAAACCAAATAAAAACAAACATATAGGTACAGAGAGCAGAGTAGTGATTACCAGAAAAGAAGGGGTGTGGGAGAAGGACAAAATGGGTAAAGGGAGTCAACTGTAAGGTGACAGATGGAAACTAAACATTTGGTGGTGAGCCACTGTAGTGTATACAGAAGTCAAAATAAAATGTTGCACACATGAAACTTATATAATGTTATAAACCAATGTTATGTCAATTAAAAAAGGATATTAGACATAAATACATATATTTGGCCTTTTATACACATCCTAGACTTATTTATATCAAAATCTTCCAAATCATTTTAATGTAACTCCTGTTTTTTCAGATTTCAAGAGCAACACATACTTATTGTAGAAAACTTAAAAATTAGAGAAAAAGTATAAAGAATAATCCATAATCTCATGATAAAGAAGAAAACACTTAGTATATGAGCTTACTTACAGCTCGTTATTTTCTACAGGCAGTAGATTTTAGATTTACAAAGCTACTGCATTTTATTACTGAAATTATTGTTGGGGTAATTATGTAATCTGTTTTAAAATAAACATTTTGCTGCAAATATTTTTCCATGACATTACAAATATCGTGAAAACACCAATTTAATAGTATAATAATCCTTTATAAGTGTGCATAACTTATTTAAACACTCTTTTGTACACTGAGGTTTTTGTCAATTTTTCCCAATTTTAATTAACTATATAATAATTCTTGTAAAATTTTTACTTTTATCAAATTGCCTCCCACATATTTTAGAGAGAGAAAAACTCATTTAAAGAGTATGAACACACTTAGCCTCTTAAAACATACTACTTTGTTATTTTTTAAGAAAATGTCAACAGATTCTGACATGTAACAGCAGAAAACATTCTTTCCTTTTTATTCTACTTTCTAGTTTAATGGATGAAGGATGATATCTTATTGACTGATTTGCATTTTCCTTTTTATAATGAGATTTATCATTTTCTCAACTGAGTATGACATTTACGTTTTTTCTGTGGCTGTGCAGTTTTTTTCTTTGGAAGATTTATCTTTTTTAATACTGATAACAACAAAAAAGACAAATTATAAATTAAAGACATGTGATACAGAAAGTAGGTTAAGGGTTCCTGGGGTGGGGGACAGGAAGCAGAGAGAGGGAGGAATTAGAAAAAAGCATGAGGATTATATAGAGATATATTCACTATCTTGATTGTGGTGACAGTTTCATGGGTATATCCATTATGTCAAAATTTAACAAATTTTACTCTTTAAATAAATTCAGTTTATTGTGTGTCAAAAAAATGAATAAATAAAGACATTAGAGATCTGTGGAAGCTAAGAAGACTAGATGAAATAAAATTCCACAGAGGAGATAAACATTCAGAAGTGAACTGATGGATAAGCAGCTGCATTTTAGTATGAACGCATTTGCCAATTTGGGGCATAGGCTTAGGATCAGACAGTGGACTGTTGCTAGAGAAAGAAAAACTTGCAGAGCTTTTAACTGGTATGAGGATCTGGAATGACAAAATGTGAAGATTTTGAGGACTGATTATATAATCCTGGTTTCCTCTACACAGCCCTGGCTGAATTGTCAGGCTGAGTGCCATGGGTAAGGACTTAGAAGGAAAGCTCTGAAAAGGAAAGTGAGATCTCCCTTAGATTTTCACTGCTTAGGAGTTTAGGGCCTACCCCTGTCAGATATAAATTGGATCTAAGCAGAAGCAAAATAGGCCAGAGATTAAGATACTGAAATGGGTGATGAATTCACACCAAAACGTACAGCAAATACTATGTAGAAGCTCTGATTTAGGGCCCAGATGGAGGTTCAAGTCCAGTGGCAGAAGGTAGCTGCTGTAGGATAGAGAAACCAACAGACATTTTGACTTGGGTGTGTGCTAGTATGATAAGGTCAGAGGATGGAGGACCCCTCAAAACCAAGGAGGAAATTTCTCTCAAGACTCTTATCAAATTGTGAAGCATTATCGGGCAGATGCTAAAGAGAAAACCTTAGAAAAGTTATCTTTGGAAGAATTAAATCCTCATAGTCTTCCAGTATAGGCAAAATCCCATGAGACGCTCAATTAAAAGTCTTGAAGGACTACAGAGTTATGGTGTAATGTGGTTAAACAAAAGTAGCTAAATTTTCTGAAAATTTTACCCTACTCTGAATGAGCTTAATCCTAGATTGGATGGAGGTGACCACCCCCAAACCTAACAGAAAAAGGAGAATCCTCTCTGGTAATGAATATATCACCATTTGCAGCCTCTACACTTCTTTTATATACAGTGCCTGCCAAATTATTAAAAACTAAGATACAAGAGAAAACAAGCTCAGGGTTCCCACTGATTCTAAATTATGGTGAGTTGTATAATTATTTCATTATTATATTACAATGTAATAAGAATAGAAATAAAATGCACAATAAATGCAATGCACTTGAATCATCCCAAAACCATCCGCCTCCCCCCGCACCCTGTCAGTCCATGGAAAAATGGTCTTCCACGAAACCAGTCCCTTGTGTCAAAAAGTTTGGGGACTGCTGAAGTAGAGGACTAGAGGGCTGAGTGTGTGTGCACTAATTAAAGAAGCTGGTTGGGAAGGTGGTCTGATAAGCTGACCCTGGAGTAGACCTGAAGGAGTGAGAAGTGAGCCATGTGGATATCTGAGGGAAGAGTGTTTCAGGCAGAGGGAACCACCAAGTACAAAGGTCCCAAGGTAGAAACATGCTGCTTTTGTCAAAGGAATATCAGAGATATTGTGGCTGGATGGAATGCGGTGGGCGGGGGGGTAGTGGTGGGATATGAAATGAAAGAAGCATAGGGAAGGTAGGTTTATTCAGGGCTTCCTAGGTGATGGTTAGCTCTTTGAATTTTACTCTAAGATGGGAAGCCAGTGAATGTGTTGAACAGAGAGGTAATATGATCTAAAGTTTTTACAGAGATCACTCTGCTGGGGGGCAAGGGGAAAGCATGAGAC